TACACAGGTTACAGGCAAACATGCACCAAGAAAGATGGACACATATGCACATTTATGTATAGAAATGCCTCAGAATAAAGACATAATTAACACTCGAATGTAACTTGTAACATTGGGAAAGGGCAGCTGATTTCAAATGTATTGAATCATGTTCATTGCAAATTTGCACCAAGCTTTGTTATGTATGTTTACGTTACCTTACTGTATAGCTATGAATTGGCCAGAAAGTATTTACTTCTGAAAGGATGTAAGGACGTCCTGTCACAGAGCGGGTTTATTATGAACACACGGACATTGGGTTCGTTTGTAACACACAGACAATGACGATCAAATCCCTTTTTACCGATTGCCCCGACCGCCCGAGGTCGATCAATTCGGGTATCTTGGTATCTGAAACAAGTCTGTCAGGTTGTGATTGTGCACAATTATGACTGAAGAAAACTCAGTGAGCACTCTTCTGATACAGTGCTACTATCGCTGCTGCTCCAGAGGTCTGTAATAACAGCTCTGAACACATTGATTAGAAAATCTCACCAAAACCACGTTCCTCTCAAATTTATCGCTGCTTCAGTGAAACGACCAAATCAAACCTTGCGCGCCCCGTTGAATTTAAACAGTAGTGACTCACAATTCCAGATACCTTTTTTGTTATTGAGAATTTCGGCGTTGAAGTAAACTCACAAAGGGAACCTCCGTACTATATGGGTGTGTTTGGGTCCAGGACTCTTTTAAAATCGGGAATCTTTAAACCTGAAAATGATCGACAGTAGTGACTAGTGACAGATGCCGTCTGCAATGATAATCCTACTGAAGCTTGAACGATTGTAGCGCTATCGCTACAGACTGATTGACAGGCAACCAACACTTATTATGAAAGGGAATATAGCAGCTATTATGTCCATTCTTCTGTATAAATTATGAGGGATTAAGAAATTCCATGTTCAGTAATCTGCTTGTACAATGTGCAGAATGGTTTGGAGGTTGGTGAGGGGACACTCTCCACTTTAAATGGGTTCTGCTGATTTCCTCAGGCCTACTGGGGTCTTTTTGACTCAAAACCCTCATGTTCGAGACTGAGTTTCCCCCGGATTCTCAGATTGGGGAGAGACAGTGAAACTAGAAAGGGGGGTGCGAGGGAGGCGAAAGCTCCATGAATTCTCCGGGTGCCTGACTGACCTCCACATTTCAAGATGGTTGACTCTGCCCAGCCAACCAGAAGGCTGAATAATTGGTCTCAGTGCCCCTGGAAGAACCAACCAGCGTTCTTCCCCCAACCTCCACCCCACCCCGCCCAATGCTTTCTAGTGAAACCCGGTGCCACCGTGAGGAGCCAGTGAGCCAGTACTGGACAGGAACAAACAAAAACAGAAATTGTTGGAGAAACTCAGCAGATCTGGCAACATCTGTGGAGAGAAAGCAGCGTTAACGTTTCAGGTCCAGTGACCCTTCTACAGAACTCCAGCACTGGGGTGGATAGGGCTCCCAGCCTTGCCTCATCTCCCGAAATGATCACGGTTATACAGCCTACTAATCATCTCGGGTCTTGGCTCTCATTCTGGGGTGGGTGGCAGGAGACCGAGTGACAGCTAGCAAGCATCGCATCTACCTCCGCGAGGAGCAAACATAAAACCAACAGGTAGATAGGAACCCAGACCACATCCCAGAGCTGAGTGAGTCGTGATGTCAGAGTGCTCTCGGTCGTGAGTTAAAGAGGACGATTGCAGAATTGGAGGTGGGAAAGCTTTCCACACACTGTGGGCTCTTTTACACCGAATCATGCAATTCCAGGCAGCCTTGAGCCTGCGGGATAACTTGGGCATTCATTCTGTGCAGCCATTCGGAAATACTGTCCCTGCACAATTCGCTATTGATTGTCCGGCCTGTCTGCCCAGTTCTGATATCCCACTGGGTAGCTGCTGGCTGAAGGGACGGCGGTGCAGTACTGGACACACCATCCATTCCCCATTGGCCACCCACTGGAGTGACCTCCTCAGCCGCAGGACTGGAGATCAAAATGCTCCTGGCTTCTCACAGTCAGACACCATGCTGCAGTGCTGGGCTCTGAAAGGCAGCAGGTTTCCCCTGGGACATCTTCCAGCCCTGGCTTTGGGCCTTACTGTTCTCCACGATCTTGGCTGCTACTTTTGTCCCTGCGAGACACCCGGGCCCTCCATTCCTGTTCCTTCATCCTCAGCTTTCCTCTATTCTGCTGGGAAGTTTTACTCGAGGATGTGCAAACCGTTTCCCTAACTGAGGAAAAGGTACCAGTTCACCGCTGGCGTTACTCCAGCTTCTATCCCTGATCCCCACTTCTTCCTTATCTCCGTTCAGGGCAGAAATACAGGGTTAGCCCGCCCCACCACACACACACACAAAGCTCTGTGTCTTCAGCGCCTCTTTCGACGCCTCCATTGTTTTCAGTTCGACTTCCAGCCAGTCCTGTACGAAATTCTGTTTTCACCAGTTTCACAGTAGAAATACCAAAGGCATCTTGACGTCTCCCAGTTTTGACTCAATCCCCCTCTCTCGGTCCCATTGTCTCAGACTGAATCATTTGCAACCTCAATCCAAAATCGGCCTTGCAAATCCATTTGCAAAATAGACATTGAAGCATTTATATATGTTTTACAAATTGCCAGAATGTACCACAAATAATAGTCTTTGAAATATTTGCGACTGTTTGCAAAAGGGAAGGTGAGAAAATTGTGTACTTTTGTCCTAGGTTCACGTCAACGTCTAGCTTCAGCCCCATAACTTCATTCAGTTGTTTGCTGTGATACAATGATTACCTCATTGGCGTTGTTATCTCTTCCTTTTGGAAAGACAGTAGGTGAAAGTGATTGGTGTAGGCGTCGGGAACCAGTTAGCTTCTGAAAGGGCGGAGGAGGCAAATTCAATCATACGTTTGAAAAGGGAAGTGACCAAGAACCTGAACGGGGATTAAATTTGCAGGGCTTTTGGGGGAATTGACAGAGGGGCAATTAACTAAATTACTCTTGAAGGGAGCTGCATAGGCTTGATGAAATGAATGGTGTCTTATTCAACTATTCCACACTACCTTTTTGTAACATTGTCTTCAACCCTGCCACAGCCCATGAGCAGCTCACAATCTGACTTCCAGGCTCAATTATTTTAAGGCTGTCATGGTGGACTCCTACTCTCTGGCTTCCAGGAGCATCAGTTCATCTAAAACACTGCTGCCAATATCTTATTCTGCATTATGTCCTATCCACTTATCATCTTGTCCTCACTGACCAACAGTTGAATCCTGTACCTCACTGCGTCTAGTTTAGTAACCTGATGCTTGAGTTTAATTCTTATCATGGCCTCAAGTCTCATTACCTCCATAACCTCTGCCATTCCTACAAACTTTCCAGAATCTTCCATTCCTCTCTTTCTGGCCTTTTGTGCAACTCCTCCTACTGCACCCACCATCAGTCACTGCATTGTTAGCCATACAGACCCTATGTTTATTAGTGTTCCCCTACTTTTAAGAACCTTTTTTCAAAATCCCATTTCTTTGACCAAGTTTTTGACTCTAACTCTTACTATATCCATCCTTAGCCCAATAGTCATTTCATTTGATTGAGCCTTTGTGAAGCTGTTTGGGACATGTCTCTTCAGTACATGTATATTATTGTTCTTCTTTGCTCAATGGCTTTCTGTAATCTTCTGTACTGGGTCCCTTATTCTTCTCATGTTCCACATGTGATGTCCAGTTCAATATGTTTGTAATGTATTATCTACTGACAATACAAAAGGGCAACCAACAAATTAGTAGCCCTTCCTTATTTAAACATCGTCTTGGTATAAATTAAGAAAATACTGGGACTACCCAACAGGTCAGGCAACACCTGTGGAAATGAACAGAGTTAATGTTTCAAGTTGATGACCTTTCATCAGAACTGTCTAGGTATCCTGTGACATATTTAGTCAATGAGTATAGGAGATTGACAGCATTTAAAGGCATCTGCATCAATTGAGTGAATGCAGCGCAAAATCATGCAAAATAATTGATAAAAGAAGCAAACTGCAATCTGAGAGAAAACTTTCTTGTATAGTAAATAGTTAATGTCTCGAATGTACTGGCTGAAAGCGTGATAGAGTCAGAGTGAATTAAGGCATCAAAAAGGCAGTTAGACTGTTAACAGAAAAAGAACAATGTGCAGGGTTACAGGGAGAAGGCAGGAAATTGGCACTAAAGTGAATGTTTATTTGGCGAGCCAATGTAGACTCAATGGGTCAAATGACTCCTTCTACACAGTAACAATTCTGTGAATCTGTTACAGATGGATTTATAAACTATATCAGTATGAGTTTTTGGAATCTGAGACCAGGAAGTTGAACCATCTGTATGAGATGAATGGGTTCTACAAGAAAGAACTAATTGAAGGTTTAGGTGATTTCAAATCCTACCAAAAATACCATGAGTGCCTCTTATTCAAGTTCAGTGTCATTCCTTTGTGTTGATCCTTTACTTCATGAAACAGCTGGATAAATAGAATTACGAAACTAAAATACTGTGGATGCCAGAAAGCTGAAATAAAACCAGAGAATATTGATAATACTTAGCAGGTCTGCCAGCATCTGAGGGGACAGAGAGAGAGAGAGAGAGACAGAGAGACAGAGTTAACATTTTTGATGTTAATGATCTGCTAAATATTTCCAGCAATTCTGCAGAAAAATATTAGCTGGAGAATAGGAAATTGGGATGGGATGCTGACTTTGGAACAGTGGAGACTGTGTCCAGTAGTGGAAAGATGGAAAGATGGAATTTGGTGTGCTCTTTACTTGGTTACCTTTGGGAAGGTGTGAGTCAATGGTACATTCCCCCGAACTCTCTCATGATATCCCGTTGATGTCGTGTCAATAATAGGGTGGATGATATGTGTTTTTGTGGAAAGGACAAGCTGAATAGGTCAAATGATCTTCTCTACCAGGTGTTCTAATATTCAGTCATTCAGATAAAATGTTTAAGTGATTTCCACTTCTCTTGACAGATATATTTTGAGACTCCACTGGGGATGCACTTGAGTCTGAAGCTGAGGCAGATACACGAACTGGTTAGTATGAAACAAAACATGAGTCCAGGTTAAAAAACTGACATGGGGCTGCAGTCTTGCAGGGCAGAAATTGGAATGTTGTGAGTTAAGAGGTGCTGAGCAATCAGCCATCAAGAACAAAAGATCAAAGAACAAAAGGGAAGTACAGTACAGGAACAGGCCCTTTAGCCCGCCAAGCCTGTGCTGATCATCATGCCCTAACTAGTCTAAAATACAATCCTTTTGCCCTTATTTGGTCCGTATCCCTCTATTTCCTCCATATTCATGTAACCATCCAGATGCCTCTTAAATGTCACCAACATGGCTGCTTCCACCACCTCTTCTGGCAGTGCATTCCAGGCTCCTACCACTCTCTGCGTGAAAAACTTCCCTTACACATCTCCCTTAAACTTTTCCCCTCTCACCTTGAACCTGTGCCCCCTCATAATTGAAACTTCAACCCTGAGAAAATGCCTCTGGCTATCCACCCTATCTACGCCTCTCATAATTTTGTAGACCTCTATAGACCTCTATCAGGTCTCCTCTCAGCCGCTGTCTTTCCAGTGAAAACAATCCTAGTCTTTTACACCTTTCCTCATAGTAAGATCCAGGCATGATCCTGGTGAACCTTCTCTGCACTCTCTCCAAAGCTTCCATGTCCTTCTGGTAATGTGGCGACCAAAACTCCAAATGCGGCCTAAGAGGGTTTTACAAAGCTGCAACATGGTTTACCAATTCTTGTAATCCATACCCCAGCCGATGAAGGCAGACATCCCATATACCTTCTTAGTCGCCTTGGCCACCTGTGTTGCCACTTTTAGAAAACTGTGGACCTGCATGTCCAGATCTGTCTGAATGTTAATGTTAATATAAAGAAATTCTGTCAATAACAATCTCAATGAATTGGGGAAAGTAAGGGAATTGAAGGATATGGGAATAGTGCAAGAAAATGGAGCTGAGGGACAAGATCAGTCATGATCTTATTGAATAATGGAGTTGGCACAGTGGGCCACATAGTCTATTGCTGCTCCAGCTGTTTATGTTCTTAATGGAGCATACTGCTCTTTGTAATGCTGAAGCACCCAGACTAGAAGGATTCCATCTTCAACCCCAGTTTGCCACCAGGGAGTCTTGCAGTTGGTCAGGCCAGGGAATGCCAAGCAGATTTAATGCTGCTGATCACTGAATGGTAGTTGGACTGTGAACGTGGGGCAAAGGCAGAATTGAGTTTGGCTGTGATACTCCCCCTCAGTCTATTACCAATTGCAGTTTTGCTGGCATATTTATAATGTGTCCCAAAATAGGTATTGGAAAATATCCAGTGCTCATCTTGATCACACCTTCAGTGTGGGTATTTGGAGGTATTTTAACTGACAGATATGTATGAAATTTATACTCAATTCCAAAGGCATTTCCACAAAGAATAGTTTGAACTGGCCCAAGGGAGGTTTGTGTTAGTAAGTTTTGTTTTGGCAGATTGATGCTATTTCTTAAGACACAATCTGTTTAATCCCTGCTTGTTCAAATCCCATAGGTACTGAGCAGGTAGAAATCTCAAACTGATTTTTCTGACGAACTATAGCTACTATCCTGGAATCCCATAATTTTGTTTAGCGCTGCCCTTACCAATACCCAGGTTAGAATCTAAATGCTTAACTGTGTTTGGAGGTGTTATTGTGTAGTGACATTCCAAAACACTGTCACAGATCAGTGTAAATCTGTGTCGGATCATAATCTCCCCTTTGACAGTTTCCTGATCCTTGCTATTTTAACTCTGGAAGGAAATTGACCAGTGATGAGGGGTCTATGAGATGGAGATTGGAAGGACTGACAAATAAGGGATACTTTCTTGTTGTCTCACAGTGATCTGTCTTATTCCCATGACTGGTAAAAGGGATTCTACAGTAACATAGGATTTACTGAACAAAAAAGACTAAAGTCCACCTGGTTCACCTTCTACTGACCTGATAATTACATAATACAATGACAATGATTAATTACCTTACCATAACAATCAATCTCTATTAATTAACCTACATGAGGTAGAGGAAATACAAGTAGTGGATGACTGTAGATCCAATATCATCAGTACCTTCCAAATATATTACATTTACCACATATCATGTCTTAATCATAAATCAAACTAGAGGTGGAAAAGATAACTGAAGAGAATAGGTTTTGAATTTTAAAAAAAGTATTTGTGTTAGGTATTGACAACTAAATGCATGTGGGATAACACTGTAATAGTGAAGGATATGATGGCATAGTGATTACATTATTGGGTAAGGGTGCAGTGAATTTAAATTCCAAAATAGTGCTTACAAAGTTGCATTCAGCTCTTCAAGAATTGGATTTTGTTTTAAAAGCTGCTATTAGTGAAATTATACTTGAAACTTGTTGTGAAAATCCAACAGAATCACTCAAAGTCCTTATCCCATCTGCCAAATAAATAAATTCAGTCCCTACAAATGTTTAACCATCCACTGAAGTAGCTGGTCAAGCCACTCAACTGCATCATACTTGGGCAATGCTCACATCTGAAGAATTAATTTTAAAAATTTAAAATGAAAGCCAGACTATAGTGTACAAAATGTTGCCCAGGTTACAGCAAACCAGCAGGATGACCTTGATGGAAGGTCAATCCCACCACATCATTTGATGAAGAAGAGCAAACTATTTGTCCTGGGCAGTAATTAACTCACAACCAATACCAAAATCTCATGAAAATGCAAGCCTTTAAAAATCATTCACAGTTAATGAGGCTGACCATTAAACACAAACATTACCTCTACTGTGGAGAAGAGGAGGTTTAGATTTAGAGGAGTAGAGTGTAATATAAAACCAAAGGAAAATACCATAGATGCTGCAATTCTGAAATAAAAATAGAAAAAGCTCAGCAGGTCCAGCAGCATCTTTGGAGACAGCATTTACGTTTTGGGTGGATGACCCTTCATCAGAAATGGAATGTCTGACGTGTGTAAAGACCACCCATTGAGTACATGGGGAGAAGAGTGTGAAGGACAATATACTGGACCTTAACAAAGACACTTCTGTTGAGTACAAGACTTCAGAATGAAGATTAATGGTCCTGTTCATCTAGACGTTGCGTGTTATAGATCCTGAATTTATATTCCCTTGGTTTCTATAGATCTTCTTGTACAAGATGGGATGAGAAGGGAAAGATGAGGGGAAAGAACTTACGATTGATCATCTCCTCAAATTGGACATCACGTGGTCAGTAAGTAATGGTTTAATTATGATTTGTTAGAATTAATGTTGAATCTGACATACACAAACTCAGCAGAATAGGAGTGGGTTGCCAAATTACAAATCCACAACATCCTATCTGATTGACAAATGCTGGCTCCTTGATATTTTTCAATCTAGTCAGTATAGTCAGTAACAAGGATTTTATAGTCAGTAACAAGGATTGTTCTACTTTTCCTTCAATTGTAATTTTGTTTTCCATTGTTCTAGCTGAGTGAATGGGTCAAAGAGAAGGAAACTACTGATTGGACTTCCACTTCTTTGAGTGAACACCCACAGGGGTAAAAGGCATTCAATCAATTTGAGTATAAGGTTCTAACCTTGGTCTGGGAGAGGTGAGAGAGGGAAGTGAGGGCAAGGAACTTTGTAAAAGGAACAGCAATTATAACATGATGTAATTTCATATTCACTTCAACAGTGAAAATTTTGAGTCTGAAACTAGAATCTTAAACTTGTAAAAAGGCAGTTATATATGATGAGGATGGAGTTGACTAAAATGGAATGGGAAAATAGGTTAAAAATTAAGAAAGTACAGAAGCAGTAGCAGACATTTAAGCAGATATTTCATAATTCTCAACTATAATAAATGACATGCTGAGCAAGAAGGATTCTACAAGAATGATGCACCATCCATGGATAGGTAAAGAAGTTAAGGATAGCATAAAATTGATAGAATAGAGGTACAATACTGCAGAGATTGTGGTACTCAAAAGATTGGGAATGTTCTAGAAACCAGCAAAAGATAAAAAAAGAAATTGGATTATCATATAAAATTAGTAAGAAAGATAAAAATAGACAGAAAAATCTTTCACAGTTATATAAAAAGGAAGAGAGTAGTTAAAGTAAATATTGGTCCCTTACAGAATGAGACAGAGGAATTAACCATAGGAAACACAGAAATCAGCAGAGCCTTTGACAAGTATTTAATTTATGTCTTCACAATAGATGACATAGAAAGCATCACAAAAATAGTTGAAAGGGAGAGATGGGAAATTAAAGAATTTGCAATAATGAGAGAAAATACAAGGAAACCTAATGGATGACACATCCCCCAGACTTGATGGGCTACACCCTAGCATCTACAGAAGGAATCAGAAGGGTTCAGAAAAGGCTTACCAGGATGTTGCTGAGAATGGATGGTCTGAGATAAAAATAGGCAGGATAGGCTGGGATTTTTTTTTTACTGGACCGTAGGAGGTTGAGGGGTGACCTTGTAGAAGTTTATAAAATCGTGAGGGGCATAGATAAAGTGATTAGCAAAAGTCTTTTCCCTAAGGTGGGGGAGTTCAAAACTAGGGGGCATATTTTTCAGGAGAGAGGAGAAAGATTTATTAGGGACCTGAGAGGCAAGTTTTTACACAGACAGTGATTAATGTGCGAATTGAACTGCCAGAGGAGGTGGTAGATGCAGGTATGTTTAAAACATTTAAAAGACATTTGGATAAGTACGTGAATAAGAAAGGTTTGGAGGCATATGTGCCAAACGCAGGCAGGTGGCATTAGTTTAGTATGGGAACATGGTTGGTGTGGACTAGTTGGAGTGAAAAGTCTGTTTCCATGCTATCTGACTCTATGAATCAGTGTCAAAGACAGTGCATGCATTATTTGTAACCTTTTAAAATAGTCTAGATTCTTAAAAAGTACCAGAAGTTTGGAATACCGCAAATGTAAGACTACTATTCAAAAAAGGAGGGGGAAAATAAATCTGGAGATAATTGGCCAGTTAGTTTCCTATCTTTCATTGAAAATGATATAATCCATAATTAAAGAGGTAGTAGCAGGATATTTAGAAAATCACAACACATTGAGTCAGAGTCAACGTAGTCTAGTGACAGAGAAATCACATTCATAAAAACCTCATCATTTTATTTCCTTTATCTTTGGACTTTGGACTAAATAAAGGAAGATATTGCTTTAAACCAAGAAGATTGTGTAAAAAAAAAGGCTGCAGTTTTTAAAATCATGTTTTCAGGAGCACACTGTGAGCTCTATGCAATGTTGCTTTCTCCTTGAATAATTAAGAGCAGAAGCAAACCTACAGAGCCAATGGATTCTGAACTAAAGGAAAACTGCTTGACCAGAACATTCTGATTTGCTTCTGATTAGGTGGCCATGGCTTGTGTGTGGAGCTGGTGCAGAACCACTGAGGCTGCAAAGAGAAAACATCAAAAAACAATCTTTCTCTCAGACTCTGTCCCATGTGGAGGTACAGAAAGTCTCCATCAAAAGCTACTTGTCTTCGATTAATTTTTTTTCTGCAGATGCCCTACTGAAGAAGGAATAAAGTGCCTTTAAAGAAAGAATGAATTCTCAACCAATGAATGAAAGAGAGCATTGCTGTGCAAATAATCTTGCGTCAACAACAAAGTACTAAAAGGAATCGGAAGAAACCTTGAGAACAACTAATCAATTCGTATGGTCCAGATTGGTGCTCTGGAACTGTGCTTTCCTGATTTTATATTCTCTTTTTCACTCATAGTATCCATGTCTTCTCTGTCTGTTTGTTAAGGGGGAATCTTAACAGTGCAGAATTAAATTGCTCAAAGTTATAAGTTAGCAAGTTATTCTTCCTAATTGCCATTGGTTAAAGATAAATAAAGACACTATTTTCTTGTTAAGTACAGAAACTTGCTGAGTGTTGTCTTCTAAGTTGAGCTCACTGCTCAGGTAAACTAGGGAGTTTGGATGAGTTGAATAAATCTTTCCACCTTTATCAGGACTCTGGGAACAGTGAGGTTTGATTTCCAGTACACTACCCTAGTGACTTTGTGACACATTTGACAAATTTATTAGAATTCTTTGAAATGCAACCAACATGGTAGATAAAGGGAAACCAGTACATATAGTTTCTTTGTATTTCAAAAAGACATATGGTAAGGTTCCACATAAAACAATACTGCATGAGTTACAAATTGATGCTACTGGAATGATGCATCAGCATGGGAAGGGAATAGCTAACTAACAAGAAACAAAGAATTGGAATAAATGGGTCACATTCAGGTTGGCAATCTGTAACTAGTGGATGCTGGAGTGCTTGGATGCTGAAATATCAACTATTTATTCCATATATTTAATGACTTGTGATGATGGGACAGGTGCTATTGCAACCACACTTACCAATGATGCAAAACTAGGTTGGAAAGAAAGTTCTGAGGAAGATTCAAAGACTTTGTAAAAAGATGGAGATAGATTGACTGATTTAGAAAATAATTAGCAGATAGAACATAATGTGGAAAAAATTGAACTTGTCCACTTTGGAAGGAAGAATAGAAATGTAGAACGTTGCTTAAATGGAGAAAGACTACAAAATGCTGCAGGTCAGAGAGATCTGGATGACCTTGTACATGAATCACTAAAAGTTGGTATGTAGATTTAGCAAGTAATTAAGAAGGTAAAATAGTGTATTGGCTTATATCACAAGAGGGACTGTACCTCCTGGTTTAAGGATCAATATACTTAAATTGAAAGCACTTTAGTGAAAGTTCACTTGCTGATTCTTGGGATGAAGGCATTGTCTAATGAGAAAAATTTGAGCAGGTTGGACCTATGCTCAACGGAGTTTAGAAGAATGAGAGCTGATCATATTAAAACATAGAAGATTCTGAGGGGGCTTGACAAGGTTGATAGCGAAGGGGGTTTCTCCTTGTCGGGTAATCTAGAACCATGGGGCGCAGTTCTAGACTAAAGGTCCTCCATTTGAGATGAAGGTGAGAAGGAAGTTTCTCCCTCAGAGAGTTGTTAATCAATGGAATTCCATTCCTAGCAAGCAGTGGAGGCTGGATCATTGAAAATATTCAAGCTTGAATTTTCCATAATTTTGATCGACAAGAGAGTTAGGGATTATGGGATGAGAGAGGAAATTGGAGGTAAGGCCACAATCACATCAGCCATGATTTACTAAATGGCAGAGCAGGGATCGATGGGCTGAATAGCTTACACCCGTTCTCTTCCAAACCTGCAGCGTCTACCACCTAGAAGGATAGGGGCAGCAGGTGCATGTGAACACCACCTAGAAGTTACCTTCCAAACCACACAGCACCCGGACTTGGAACTGTATCACAGGTTCTTTACTGTCACTGGGTGAAAATCCTAGAACTTCCTCCCTTACAGCACTATAGGGTGTCTCAAATCCTAATGATTACAGTGGTCAAGAAGTCAGCTCACTGCCACCTTCTCCAGGGCAATTACAGAAAAGCAATAAATCCTGGCTTAGCTAGCAACACCCACATCCCATTAATGAATGAAAAAAAGAGGAATAATGTATTCCGGACTCAGGGCACTATTCTCAGTGGCCAATTACTGTTTGCCTTCCATTCCCTGTCCCAGGAACAGTAACAACAAAGTGCCCTTCTTATAAATTGAGCATTGAGAGAACTGGCTGCCAGGCTACATTTTTTTTGGGAAGTGCAATGGAAAATGTGAATGGAAAGTGGGAAAAGCAGAATAATGGTCAAAACATCGGTAGCATCCACACCTCACCTTCAAACGCTAACCCCCTCTCATTGCCCAAACCTTGCCCTCAATGTTGCACTGTGAAGTAGAAAAACACACATTAGGTGCGCTTTTGCTTCAGACACAAGGACATTTGCCATGTGCAAATTGGCATAGGGAGGTGAGGAACAGGGAAGTAAACACGTGGCTAAAAGAGTGGTGTGGGAAAGAAGGTTTCCTTTTCATGGGGCACTGGCATCAGTTCTGGGACAGGAGGGATCTATACCGCTGGGATGGACTCCACCTGAACAGGGCC